AAAAAAAAAAAAAACTATAATTAGTGGCCAATAAGTTAGGTCTTTAATTAAAAGTTGGAAGATAATTGCTATCTACACACTTCACACTCATCAAACTCTTGATTGGAAACAAATGCAAACCTCATATAAACAAAAAAGCACATCCAATACATGCATGCTCAAAGACAAGGAAGGAGTGAAAAAAGTAGGTTAGTTTGCACAAACTACACTTATATATGTATACAACTATACAAAACTCATTCAACTTCACTTCTCTATCTTCAAGTTTGTTTTAGTTTTCTTCTTCTAGCTCTACCTCTTTAATTTCTTTCTGTCAAGAAGTATATATACTATGACTGATAGCCTTGTTGCAACTCACTTGAAACTCATTTCCATCTTAGTAATATTTGTAACAAGTGTTATAGGTATTTTTTTACCGGTTTTGCTTGCTAGAAGATTTCAAGGGAAATCAATTTATGATAAAGTTACACTAGTGATCAAGTGTTTTGCAGCTGGTGTAATTCTTTCTACTTCACTTGTTCATGTACTTCCTGATGCATTTAATGCTTTATCTGATTCCCGAGTGGCATCATTTCATCCATGGAAAGATTTTCCATTTACAGGTTTAGGTACATTGTTTGGAGTTTTACTAGCTCTGTTAGTTGATATTACAGCAACTTCACATGTTGATCATAGACCAAGCTCTTACAAACCAGTTGAAACTCGGGATGAGTTAGAAAATAAGAAATGGCCGGTTGAAATGAGTTTGGAGGTGAGTTGTGACGATGAGAAATCTGTGGATGAATTGATGAAGTTGAATAAGCAAAAATTGGTGTCACAAGTTTTGGAAATTGGGATTATTTTTCATTCTGTTATTATTGGTGTTACACTAGGTATGTCACAGAATTGGTGCAGCATTAGACCTCTTGCTGCTGCTTTGGCATTTCATCAATTTTTTGAAGGAATGGGCCTTGGAGGTTGTATTGCTCAGGTACACATTTCATTCCGGGTTAGATCGAGTGTTGTAACTCATGTTGGCAGGGTTACATTCTAATTATTAATGTCAATGGTAGTTCGCGCGTGAACTGTTGTTTATTAATACATAGTTAGGGTTTATGATTTTGAGATAGGGTATAGGTAGATTGAATTTAGAGTCTGCATTATAATTAAAAACGACGAAGCTAGATATGGAAAAAAAAATGCCTACATACAAATATGGGACTAAACCTGAAATACACTCCTTAACTATTATGTGTGCACTTGTTTGTGTTTAAGGCTTTAAGCATCTTCTTGTATTACATCTTAAACTTGGTTGTTTTCTGATTTTTAAGGCGGGCTTCAACTTGGGGACGACGATGTATATGTGTTTTATGTTTGCAGTGACTACTCCCATGGGGATAATATTTGGTATGATCTTGTTCTCTGTCACTGGCTATGACGACAACAGCCCAAATGCCTTAATAATGGAAGGATTATTGGGATCAATATCTTCTGGTATTCTTATGTACATGGCGCTTGTCGACCTTATAGCAGTAGATTTCTTCCATAATAAGTTGATGAGTTCAGAACAATGGATGAAGCAGGGGTGTTACATTGCCTTGGTGGTTGGATCTGTTTCTATGTCTGTACTTGCTTTATTAGAATGAATTATAAAACCTATCTTTCCAATTAAACCATAAAATCGAAATTTTTTATAATCTAATCTAGTTAAAATTTAATTTCACATTTTGTGTAAGTATTAATGCACAGTTTTTCTGTTTTCGATCTTTCCCAATCAATTCATTAGCATCTCATTGAGAAGTCATCCCATCGTTTTCTATTTGGATGAGATAGATCAACGCTACTTTTCGATACCACCCAATCCTATTTACTTTTAGGTTTTAATGCAGTGCAAACAACTTACACAACAAAACAGTTATCCATTGAAAAAATAATTGTGCACCAGAACAACTTCACAGGGAAGCTTTATATGATAATAATGCATTATGCATACATATATAAGTCCAGTTTCATCATAGTAATCATATGTTAGAGATCATATTTGTGATAACATTAAGATAATATGTGTGCTAAGTAGCTAACCTAAACTGCTCAAAACGAATTTCATTGAAAGACAAATGTTATGTACGCTCATTCAGACTGGCAGGAATGGCAGCATGCTTACTTGTGTCCTGTTCTTGTCCTTAGTTTATTCAAATACTGCATACAAAAAAAAAAAAATATGATGAAGCTTGTATGGCTAACCAGCATGTTTTCATTCCTTTTATTTTTGACACATTTTGATTGTTAGGCTTAGAAGCAGTTGAACTCCTCTGAAGGGTCCAAAAATTTATGGATAGCAATGTCATGACGGCGGGTTCCAATGAATATGTTTTCAGATGTATTGGTTTTGCTATTCAGAAAAGACTTGCAGCGCAGTTTGTAGCGCGCGTCCTCCACCTTTGTGTATTTTTTCTGATTTTATCAATAAAATTTCTTTATTCTGAAAAAAAAAAA